CATCTCTCTTGCCATCATATTCAGAGGCAACGCATCTGATTAGCAAATATTGGAACTAAGTGATCCGGGAGGAGGTTTAGATCTCTCATGAGCTTCCTTGTTTAGCACTGTTGGAGGCAGAAGGCTAGATTTCATGGCTGGTTGGTTGAATCCAAAGGCAATTCTTGTTACATTATGCTATTCTTCCGCTTAGCATTCATTCCTTTAAAATGAGAGCTCCCTAGTGGAAGACTGTTCCCTCCAGCTCACAACCCCAGCAGTGCAACAATGCCATCGTGTGGCCAATTTTAATAAAAGCTGCTGGTGTGAAGATGCTGAAAGGTCATTTGTTTTTTTGCCTGGGGTCACCTCCAGACCATCAGTATCTTGCAGGAGAGATTCAGTCATGTACCAGGAATGTAGGTGTGCACAGTTAAAGTGGATTTAAAGCACTCTGGTGCTCTGATGCAATCAATTCATTTTTATTTTTTTTTAAAGTCAGACTTTTTGCAGTTAGAAGAGGGACAGATGTGGGATAAACAACTAATTAATGGGAAGGCAGATGACATCTATCTTTTTTGTATTTAACATTTGGCATTTCCGTATTTAACTGTTAAGACTTTTTTTCTTCAAAAATGGCTGCTGCTTAAGTTGTCTGTTGTTGCTTTAGTTTTCTGTACACCACTTTCTGATAAGTGGTATAGAAAGGGTAATTAAGTACGGTACCTAAAAAACTTAAAAATAACCACTGCACAAGCTAATCTGGATGGATGCTTCTTGTTGTACAGTCTCCCTCTAAGCAGAACAAATGCTCAATGAAGAAAGGACATGGTCCAACCTCTGTGTAAACATTGTGCGAGCAAATCAGGGTGAATACTCAATACTGTAAACAAGTTGTATGGAGGAGTCCCAAGGGAAAGCATGCGTGCAGGGAGGAAAGCTCTGCCCATTACAATGTTCGGCTCAGGAAAAATAGGACTCTGTAAGATATCCTAGAAGTCAGACAAGGGGAAATAACTTCTCCATGACACACAGACCCCTCCACACCTTCATTATAGGCTGTGCTTGAAAGTACAGGACAGGCACAATAATGGAGTCTGGCTAAGACCCTGATGGGTGGTCTAATTCAATATATGGCAGTTTCCTCTGTCCCTACCATGGCCCTATGTACCACTGGGAGAACCAAGTCAGAGGAGAACAGAAACGTAGACTAAGGGAAAGCTGCAATTTTTCTTGTCAGTTTCTTATCCTTAGTCTCTATATCGGCCTATACCTTCCTAATAACTTCTAACTGATTATCCCAACTGCCTATCTGACTCCTCCTAAGAGTTTCTCTCACTCTCACACATCAAAACTAGACCAACCCACAAACTTATCCTCCCTCTTCCTTCTCCAACTCCCAACTGACTTCCCAACAACTCCAACTGTAACTCTAACTCCTCCCCTTGGGTTCCCACTGGCCAATCACGTCACACTCATTTAACCCTTTCCTTATGACCCACCTAAGAGGGCAAACACCACAGTGCCCCTTGGTACTGTGCAACTGGATTTGTTTCTTACCAAACCCAGACTAAAATCTATCCAGATTCCAGTGCCAAATTAGCTCTGTTGAGCTAAAACACAAATAAAAAGGGAGTCGTGTGATTAAAAGGGCAAAGGAGAAGGTCTCTCAAAAAATGGCATGTGCCACTGGCTGGCCACCAAGCTTGTTCCTCCTCCCCAGTGGAGATGCCGCAGGATCAGGCCTGCACTATCTGGCATTCGCTACCACAGAGCATGGCGACGACTGCTGACTTAGATGGCTTTAAATGGGCATTAGCAGGGCCGGATTTAGGTTGGATGAGGCCCTAAGCTACTGAAGGCAATGGGGCCCTTTATATGTCCAGCTGTCCTTTGTCAACAACAAATTGCCGCTGTTTTTTGTGTTGAATATATGATATATGGTCATTTATGGACCTAATACGTATCTAAAGCCATTTGCACATAACAAAATATGCATTTTATCAAAGTAATTGTTGAACTGAAATACAATTAAGAAGTATATTAATAGTGAAATAATTATTAAGCTGTAACTATATGTAGGTTTTATTTTATTTGGTTTTTTATCTTCTATTTTGAAAATGTACATCCAGTTGTTTTTTTCTTTAATTTATTTGGGGAGCCCCAAGAGAGTGGGGCCCTAAGCTATAGCTTGTTTAGCTCATACGTAAATCCGGCACTGGGCATTAGACAAATCCAAGGAGGAGAAAGTAATCAGTGGCTACTAATCAAGACGTGGGTGGCACTGTGGGTTAAGCCATAGAGTCTAGGACTCTGTTTGAATTGGTAACTTAGATTTGCATTTAGTCCAAATATTAATAATCATGCAGAAACCAAATAAAATGTTATTCAGGTTCATTTGGACTATACATACTGTAACTCAGTATTGATACTTGCTACGTATTGTTGGTGGTATGGGACGCAGGTGGCGCTGTGGGTTAAACCACAGAGCCTAGGACTTGCCAATCAGAAGGTCGGTGGTTCGAATCCCCGCAACAGGGTGAGCTCCCGTTGCTCGGTCCCTGCTCCTGCCAACCTAGCAGTTCGAAAACACGTCAAAGTGCAAGTAGATAAATAGGTACCACTCCGGCGGGAAGGTAAACGGCATTTCCATGCGCTGCTCTGGTTCGCCAGAAGCGGCTTAGTCATGCTGGCCACATGACCCGGAAGCTGTATGCCTGCTCCCTCGGCCTGTAAAGCGAGATGAGCGCCGCAACCCCAGAGTCGTCCACGACTGGACCTAATGGTCAAGGGTCCCTTTACCTTTACTAATCAAGATGGATACTTGCTGCTTCCACAAACAGAGGCAGTTTGGCTCTCAATACCAGCTGGGGAATATAAACATGAGAGAGGCCTATTTGTCCTCAAGTCCTGCTTTGGGTCTTGACTTTGGGGTGCTGGTAACCAGCAGGTGTTCCGCATGGCGTTTCAAAAGTACTGTATTGTTTAAAATCGAAACAAGCTTGAACAAATGAACACATGCCATATTTAAAAATCCCAGTATTTTAATGAAAGGAAAAAATGAATATCCACACATTTGCACTTATGTACAACTTTGTGATATATATATATATTTATATATAATCATTTTAAGCTGTTTACAAATCACATTTAGTGCTTAAAATATCACATCATGTTGATATTATATTTCTGGCAGAAATAAATATATTGCACTTAAAAAGAATCTTTTGGTTGTTGATGCTGGATATTGTTTTCTAATTTGCAGTGCAAGCCTATACACCTCGACACAGATATTAGTCCCACTGTGCTCAATGGGATTTTCTCCCAGATAAGTGGATTTCGGATTGCAGTCTTACATACTCAACTTCTTTTTCATAAAACATTTTGCCCTCACCTCCCAAATTACGCACACACACACGTCATTACATGGTGAATGTGTTCACACAATTAATTTAAACCATTTAACACAGCAAACAGACCTGTAATACATTCTGTTAAGAGAGACTACCTCCAATTTTTACTTTCCCTATGTTTACAGAAACACTTTCCTCCTATTTCTGGTATTACAGTAAGAAACTAAATGCTCGTTTGAAATGTGCCAAAGCTAAAATACAGCAATCTGTATTTTTTTTTGTCCAGAATCCTTTTAAAAAGAAGTTATTTAGAAAGTAACACATTTATTGACTGAAATCACTTTCTTCAGTATTTTAAAACAATATCAAACCCTGATCTTTTAAACCAGAAATTGTCATAAATAAACCCTTCATCCTGTTAAGATTCAGGAAGTACCAGAACCATATTTACTGCATATAATGAGCAGGAAAAACAAAGAATCTGACTTTGTGGTAAAGCAAGTTGGAAAAGTGAAAAGGAAAAGGTTTAGCTGACTCCCCAACCCTAAAGGCATCCCAGTCCAACAGCTTCAGTGCTCAGGTGCAGCTTCTGACAAATCTCTGCAGTACAGTGGTACCTCGGGTTAAGTACTTAATTCGTTGCAGAGGTCCATTCTTAACCTGAAACTGTTCTTAACCTGAAGCACCACTTTAGCTAGTGGGGCCTCCTGCTGCTGCTGTGCTGTCGGAGCACAATTTCTGTTCTCATCCTGAAGCAAAGTTCTTAACCCGAGGTGCTATTTCTGGGTTAGTAGAGTCTGTAACCTGAAGCATCTGTACCCCGAGGTACCACTGTACTGGGAAATGCTCAACACATGCAAAGGGGACATGACACATTTTGCAGAAATGAGAAGAAGCAACCCTTACATACATCATGAAATTTGATGTGTGCCTCACAGCCCCACAAAGTCTTCTACTGCGCCCACTATTCTGAGCAGCCGTTTCAGTGTTTATCTGCCCACAACTGGCAGATAAACTACATGCGCCCCTAAGTCTGGCTTAGGATGAACCAACTGCAGCAGCTACGAACCTGTGGGGAGGAACTGATTGTTTGGTCTTCTTTCCCATCACTGTCAGGTAAGCAGTTTCTACCATCATTTCCAACCTTCTTCCATGGATTTGCAAGCAGATTCAGGCAGCGGAGGTAGGTCCATTAGGGCAAACGGGACAGTGCCCCACAACTTCACCCTGCTCTCACTTTCCTGCTACCTACCTTCTTACTTACAACTTGTCAGTGGCGTAGCGTGGGTTGCCTGTGCCCGGGGCCATGAAAAGGGGGTGGGATGGAGAGAAACGGATGGAGGACACATGCACATTCAACTGCCTAATGGTGTCTGCATCACTTCCTGGTTTGCATGGAGAAGCCGTTTTCAATGGAGCCGAGCAACGGAAGCACACAGCTGTATTGAGGCAGCAGCGAGTGTTGAAATTTTGCGCCCCTAACAATTTTGTGTCCGGGACAACTGCCCCCCACTACACCATGACTCCCTGTTGGTCTTATAGAACTCAGCAGCAAGAAGGGTGAAGACAAAATGATAATTAGTTGTCTCAGCCTGTCCTTGGCTCTAACGCCACCTACTGTTGGGTGCCAACAACCACTGGGTTCTGGGAACATGGCAATGTTCTCATTGCAGAGCCAGATCCTAAACACTACAGGCTCTCCACATTGCTAAAGCAGCCAGAGAGTCAGTTTTAAGCAGCCCCATACAGCTAATGGTTTTGTGGTGCCACCCTCCCTTAACGTTCTCTAGATCTTTCTCAACAGGATTGGGCAACACCAAGGTTGCAATCCTTTGCAGCCCCCAGTTTATCCATTGGATAAATCTTCATACTATGGAATTAGAAATCAAGAGAACTGAAAATTTATTGGGCCTTTTAGAATGTAGTTTCAATGCTTTCGGTTCTTTAGCTAGGAACTTGCTTAAACAATGAATTGAAAAAAATGCTGGTTGGGGCATTGTTGACTCATCTTGAGATGCGGCTTTCTGCTCCTCTCGGTCTTTCCATATTACAAATATGTGTTCCCATTCAGGGTGTCTGATTGGGAGTGGGTTGGATTCCACCACCCTTCCAGGACTGAGGTTTTCCCTATTGCGTTTTTCTAATTTTCAGCAAGGACCACAAAGGTACCTCTTTGAGTTTTTCCATGCTCGTTCTCATTACGGAAACTCTTGATGCCTATCTACTGAATTTGTAGTGTTCTGCGTTACATAATAATCAGGGAAAGGAAACGCTTCACGTCTCACCTTTTGATCCAAAATACAATTATGCAAGGAAGAAGGCCTTGAAGGTGAACAACAGCAGGTGCCAACAACCTCCCACTTCTAAATGTTCCTCTGCCACATATTTTTCTAGCACAGGTAGGCCTTGTAGCTACAATGTCAGATCAATGGAGTTGTCAGTTATCTGTTGTGGCCTCCCACAATGCTTCAATAATGTCTGGTGATCAATTAAGGGTGTGTTCTTGGTCCGCATGAGGCAGCCATCTTGCTGAAGCTAAGCAGTTTTGGCATATGCCCAGATGGGAGATCACCTGGAAATCCCATGTATTCTACCTTGAGTTCCATGGTGGAAGAACGGCAGGATGGAAAAGTACAAAAATAAATAAATAGGCCCCCAGGGACCACATGGACACACCCAATATGGCCCACAGACACTGGTATCAAAACTGCTTATACGATCCTACCAAATTACTGGGCAGGCATGGGATCTAGTCATAAGATCCAGCCCCAGAGCAACATGTATGGATCAGGGCTGAGTAACAGACAGGCGAAGCCTGAAGCTGCCGCTCTTCAGCCTTGTACAACGTTCTTCAAAGTAACACAGTGCTAAACCTCACCAATTCCAGATATAGCGCCATTGCAGATGGTAAGAGGTGCATGTGACAGACGCCATAGATTAGTACCCCACAAATTGTCCCAACATTTGCAATGAGCTGTGAATAAAATAACAGAATGCAGAGCAATCTTCAGTCACCCTGTTTTACCATCAGTCCTCCCTGCTGCTGTCAGTATCCAAGAAAAAAACACCTGAGCTATATGAACCTTTGGCACGTTCTATCATCTGAATTTGGCAAACTGTGGTTAACCTTATCTATGGTTTGGTGAAACAGCTTCCATTCATTTCAAAGAAGGCTCATGCAGGAGGAATTCCAGCGGATTATGCCCAGTGTTCTTAACTAACTGGATTCCATACTTAAAATAACGGCGTTTAAAGGATGGTACGGGGAAGGGAATGGTGCAGTCTTTTCCTTCTGTTTCTTTCATAGCGAGCTTAATGCTGAAGTAGCCTAAACATGCTCAAAGCAACAAATATCGCCCCCCCCCCCATTCATAAAAAGCAATGAAGTTATCAGCACAGTATTGCCTCTTTGGCCTCTGTCAGGAGGGGAAGTCTATACACAATTCAAACTATACACTGCTGCATGATGGCAGCCTCACATCTAGTGGTTATGATGCACCTTCAGATAGTTCAGTGTTTAATCAGAGACCTTGCAACATTTGGAGTCCCTTGGGCCATGCCCATTTTCAGAGCCACTCAAGCTCCCTTAACCATCCCTTAACACGGATCCTTCAAGAGGAGGGAGCTAACTCCACAATGCCTTTATGCAAGCTGGTTTTCTTAGTCGTTTCGCCCTGGGCCTTCCCAACAGGCCCAGGCTGGTTTGCCTGCCAAGTCTTGGCTTCTCTCGCCTTAGGTCAGTCATACGAAAGGGGTCATCACCGCAGAGGAGTGGCGCAGTCCCTGGATCGCTGCGTAAGGACCCTGCTGAAAGTAGTGGTGGTACCGGGGCATGTGGAAAGAAGGGAAGGTCGGGCCACTGCCCTGCATCGAGCTGGCAATGGCAGAAGGGGTTAGAGGCATTCCCAGGCGGCTGTATGGGGGCAAGGAGCCTTGGATCGGGTGAGGAATCGGCGTGGCTATGGATGCAGCACCGGAACCAAGAGCGGTCAAGGACTGCGGGTGTTGGAATCCCGGGAAACTTGATGTCGACGAGACCCAGGAACTGAGGGGCAGGTTGTCGGAAGTGGTAAAAGCTGATCCTGCAAACAAAGGAAAAGAGTGGAGGTTTGCATAAGAGCAACTATATCCAAAGTACCAACTGATGTAACTAATGGGGCTGCCATAGCAAGACCACATGAGGTTAGGGGGCATACTCAACCAGAGCCAGGGCCTTCTCAACACTGGCTCCGGCCTGGTGGAACACTCGTCTCATGAGACCAGGGCCCTGCAGGATCTGATTTCTTTCCGCAGGGCCTGTAAGGCAGAGTTGTTCCGCCTGGCCTTTAGCTTGGAATCATCCTGATCCCCTCCCCCTCTTTCATTTTCCTTCTGTGATGGAACTCCTATTTGGGGACTTCCGTGGCTTTTTTCTGGCCCATGTAGGACCAGTCTGGAAAGTTAGCCTTGGTGAAGACTTGACGTTATCATCCCCAAAAAAGTTTTTGATTTGAGTTTCCATTGAAATGAGGCTGTATTTTAATATTTTAATGTTGTATTTTAATCTTGTGTTTAAGTTGTATTTCAATCAATTTGTTTTTATATCGGGTGTTAGCCGCCTTGAGCCCGGTCTTGGCTGGGGAGGGCGGGGTATAAATAAAATTTATTATTATTATTATTATTATTAGGAGTCACTGTCCCATGCACAGCAGACAGAGCTGATCTTCAGGGGGCCGGTTATTTAAAAATAATTAACAAATTTTATTTATCTTGGATCATTTAAAAATAATTGATTAATAAAAGGAGAGGGCACGCAGATTCCAAGCATTGTGCATAATCAGATTCATGACGATACAGGAATCGCATGGAAGAAGGGGTGCCTCCTCTTTCCAAATTGTGGGCTCGTTTGAAAGCACCAAAGGTTCTGATCTTGAACCTCTTCAGGATCAGATCTTCTCCTACCTCTGCTTTGGGCGGCTTGGTTCTCGTCTCCCAGAACTTCATCCTCTGCTCCATAGGTTCTGATGGGGGATCGTGCATAGGAATGCTTTTGAATAAGGCTCTCTACGCTTTCTCTGCGAAAGACAACATTCCACGTTAGCAACAGACTGAAAGCCATCTATACACTTCTTTAATAGCTCCCTCTACTCCTAGTATGGGCCAGCCCAGTCAAGAGGCACGGTGAGGCCACTGCCTCAGGTGGCAGGATGCACAAGGACAGCAAATTCAGACTTAGATCTTTATCCCCTCATCTTGTTCATGATGTAAATCTTCACCTCACGTTCCCCTGGTGGGAAAGTGGGACATTTTGTGCTTTACCTCAGGTGTCAAAATGTCTTGGGCAGGCCGTTTGAAAGACATACAATGGAAGCATGTGCTTGGATTCTTTTGAACTGGCGGCCCTTTCAGATATTCCCGTAAAAAAACACCAGGAGCCTTGACAGAGGTAAGTCAGGCTGAAAACTGACTTTATGGGGTACCCAGTAAAATCATAGCTGTCAACTTACAGATTTGAAAATAAGGGACCAGCAGCCTCGAAAATAAGGGATCAGCAGCCAAAATAAGGAATTTTCCGAACACAGGTATGTTCGACTTCTGAGCCCCTCCGAGCCAAAGACAGAAAGCCCAGCCAGCAGCCAAACAAAGCCTCAAGCGGTGGTTCCCACAGCGCAGCAACCCGGCAAAGGGGATGCAGCAAGGGAAACCTCCGTCACCTCTCCACTGGGAAGCGCTGAGCAAAGCGAGTCCCTGGGCAACACGGCCGATTTGATCGGCATAAGGCATGCAAGCTCCACCCCCCAGTCATTCTTAGACTCCTTATTGGGTGAGCAACGCAGCCAAGCAACAAAGTTGGAGCCTCCCTCCTCCTTGGCCGGCAGGCAAGGTTTCCTTTGAAACCTGTAAAATTTAAGGGACATCATCAATAAGGGACAGCAGCGGGACACAGCGCTGGGATAAGGGACTTTCCCGCCAAATAAGGGACGGTTGACAGCTATGAGTAAAATAGAGTACCCCATAGACTAGAACAGAGTTGCAGGAGCCCCAGTTATGACGGGGCCTAGTAAGGATCTTAAAGGGCATGTTATATGCTGACAATTATTAAAATAATATCAAAACCACACACGCTTTCTTTTCAGTTTGGAACATTGAGAGAAGCTTTCAAAGTAGCAGATAATCAACCTGTTACTGGCTTCCTGGGAGGCTTAGTAAGGGCAGAAGATCATGCAGAGTTACATCCTAACTAGTTTGTACTTGTACCCACAGCCTAACACAGTAGATTATTCTCACCCACTGGGTGATATTGTTGGTGGTGGAAAAATCGTAACTCTACCTGGTTATTATAGATTGGACAATAGAATAATGCCAGGACACCAGGGGATGGGAATTGGCCAGAACACAAACATACCTAAATATTTGCACCACTAGGGCTGGAAAAGTTAGCTCCCCATAATCTTCTGTGGGACTGCGTTTCAGTGGGGAGCATGGCCATAAGCTTTGTATAGTGGGCAATGCAAAAGTCAGAGCTTTCAACACACAACTCTCCATCTTCCATCCAGGCAGGCAAAAGGCATTTGTCACTGTTCAAAGTCACATTGCAGCCAGGCAAAAGCATTTCTGGAGTATGGCCAGGAAGAGATATGCAAAAAGCATAACCAGGGGCCACATAAAGAAGTCTGAAGGGCCACATTCAACGCCACCCCCAGACCTGAGGTTCCCTACCCTTGCACTAGCACATAATTGTGTAAATTCCCCCTGGCCATCAGCCAGATTATTTCCAGAGCTGCCAAAGCATCACAATCCAAAGGGCACAGAATTCAAGCCAACTCAGCAATGACTACCACTCACTGTAGATTTTACAGTCAGGAGATTATGATAGAGGATGGTATTTATTTTTGACCCCACTGTGCTGGGGGTCACTGCAGTTTGGGTCGCTTTGAGCCAGTCTGCCTCAGGTTCTCATGGGACAGTTTTTTTGTAAGTAAAGGTAAAGGTACCCCTGCCCGTATGGGCCAGTCTTGACAGACTCTAGGGTTGTGCGCTCATCTCACTCTAGAGGCCAGGAGCCAGCGCTGTCCGCAGACACTTCCGGGTCACGTGGCCAGCGTGACGAAGCTGCTCTGGCGAGCCAGAGCCGCACGCGGAAACGCCGTTTACCTTCCCGCTAGTAAGCGGTCCCTATTTATCTACTTGCACCCGGGGGTGCTTTCGAACTGCTAGGTTGGCAGGCACTGGGACCGAGCAACAGGAGCGCACCCCGCCGCGGGGATTCGAACCGCCGACCATGCGATCAGCAAGTCCTAGGTGCTGAGGTTTAACCCACAGCGCCACCCGCGTCCCTAGTTTTTTTGTAATGATTCTGATTAAACTCATGCAGCAGGGCAGGGAAGCAATTTGCTTCTTTTTCTGTGTGTTCACTATGAGTACAGAATTCACCCAAAGTTGCATTTCATTTCTTCAAATACTTAACAAGAAACATCACATAGGTTTCAGCTGCACTGCTAGAAAGCTCAGTTGTAATAGTAAGAAGAAGAACCGATTTAATGAACAAAGCCATTTTATCTATCAGGATTCCCCAAAGGCCAATCTGACCTGATGCACTTCAAATCAGCTGTCTATCCCGGCTCCCATAGACAATCCAGATAATTGAAGCCATTTAAACCTAGCCTTTGGCAGAGATCCCTGCTGAACCCACGTTTGGTAACTCAGGCTAACTAAAAATGCATTGCCTTTCAGCAAAACCTGCTACATTTAAAAATAAAATAAAATGGGGAGGACAGTTTACCAAACAGTGCAATAAATCCATCTCAGTGACCCCACCTCCTTACAAAAGGACCGAGAATATTTTGTCCTTGGAATATCACTGGTATCATTACATATACAAGCCTCTTGCAGGAGAGGGGAAATGAGAGTAAAGAGTGAAAGGGGGAGAGGGAGGAGAATCTTATTGAAGCAATTTACTTGCGGGGACTGGAAGTGGACAGAAAGCAATGGCAGTTGCTACTGAGAGGAGGGTATAATTGAATTATTGCCTTTTAAGTGATTGAAGACAGTGGCCATCCAGCGTTATCTCCCAGAAGATCTTACAAGGGAAAGGGGGGGGGGGGAGAGGCTGCATTGGTTACATTATGGATCTGAATGCCCCCTTTCCCCCTGATTCTAGCAAAAGGAGAAATGCAAAAAAAACCACCATTTCATGTTATTACGAAGGCCATGGAGTCGATGAGCAAGGCTCTCCAGGCTTTGGTCCAATACACTCCCTTGAAGTAAATATTCCATGGTGTTAACATTTAGTTACTTTTTCAGCTACTGGTTTTGATGGTGGGGGGTGCTCTAAGGAGGGGGTAGAAGGTGGGGTTTTGGCCCCACTCATCAGTCAAGCTGGATGACCAGCAAAACTCCTTCCTATACTCCTCTCTTGTCTGCAAATTGGCATTCAGGGGCCAGCGGGCAATACTCAAGGGACCAGACTCATCCCAAAGGTCTCCTATTGCTGACCTCTAACGTAGTGCAGTTCGCCAAGCATGTGCCTACCCAACGTCCATTCATTTCTGTCAAGCATGGGCAAGAACCCTGCAGCATTAATGGAGATCGCTGCCAGGAAGCGCTCATCAGCTCCACTTCGGTTTGTAAGGCAAGATCACCTGAGGCCACTTGAGATTTGCGTCTGTGGCTCCAGCCCCTGAGCTTGAGGTGCTGTGAACATCTGCACAGAGGTAACTGCAGAAGCAAGCCTCTCGGTTTCTATTTTTTATATTACAGTGGTACCTTGGTTCTCGAATGGCTTAGTTGTCGAACAAATCGGCTCCTGAACGCCACAAACCCAGAAGTAAGTGTTCTGGTTTGCGAACGTTTTTTGGAAGCCAAACATCTGACGCAGTTTCTGCTTGAGTGCAGGAAGCTCCTGCAGCCAATTGGAAGCCACACCTTGGTTTTCAAACAGTTTCGGGAGTCAAACGGACTCCCGGAATGGGTTAAGTTTGAGAACAAAGGTACCATTGTACTTGGATGACAAACCTAAGTTGAAGCCTGTAAATTGCTGGACTTCAGCTCCTTCCATCCCTGATTACTGGGCCAGGAGGGTTGGGGATGGCAGCAGTTGGAGTCACACAACCTCTGGGAAGATAGCAGGTTCCCTATACCTGTTACATACACATGAATAATTGCTCTCCTATAGAGATCAGCAATGGCCATGCACGATTTACCACATATGTGAGAAAACCTGGGGGTCACAGGCTGAAATTACAAAAATCCATGCGTTGTTGCTTTCCAAATGTTCTTCAAATACAAAACACATAATTCCTACATGCAGTTGAAACATGCACAGCCACTAGGGAAGTACTCTGATGGCCACAAACAAATGTAAGCTAAGAAATGGGGAGCAGGCGGGGACTGGATCCAGCTCTCTTCACAAATAGCTGATCAGCACCATGACTGACCCTACCTGTAAACGGAAGCTTTGTCACCCGATTTAGTGATGCTAAGATTCCTCTCGTTTATGTCTCAACAAATTCTTAGGCTGCAAGATCACCTTGTACTGTACATCGCCACCTTGCGATGGTGTTTTTCATAAGCAGATGCAGATAATTTTATAAATTACCAGCAGGCAGATCAATATATTTCCTATTATAATTCTACCCCATAAAAATACGTCAATGGCAATTTGAGGCAGAAATTCAATCTAGGGTGTCTTTAGACTGCACAACTGCACATTTTTCAAAAATGATACATATTGAGCCAGTCATTTTGTGAATAATTATAGAATTCTACTTTAATTTTAGAAAAGCTTTGGGCATGTTTATAAGTCAGATATACATTGCCTCTGATGCTTAACCCCATTTTTCTCTGAAGATAAACTTTGACAATACCATCCATTAAAAGGAATCCTAAAGAACAGTCACAAATGCTACAGATATTTTTCTTCTATGATTGATAGAAGCCATAGCTTCCAATTAAGACCTCTGAATAAACACACACATGAGCACATATATATGTCCCAGCACTAGATGACTTCCCCATTCACTTCAATGGATGGGACAGCTCTAAGCACACATGGAGCTCCTCGTCCTTTGACGTG